TAGACATTTATTTTAATTAAATTATATGTTTAAACAATATTTAGGCTCCGAAGATGGCATTACGCCGAAACAGCGCTGTTAGCTTTATTCCAGTTTTAGATAAATATGAACTCAAATAATACCGCCTCGTTGAATCTTATAAAGAAGTTAATTAATGCAAAATGGGCAAACAATTTCAATGAAATTTGCATATATATACATATATATATATATGTGTGTGTGTGTGTGTGTGTATATACACACACGTATATATATATATATATATATATATACGTGTGTGTTTGTGTGTGCCGAATTACTAATTACATATAATTATATAATTACACTAATTATTTACTACAAATCCAATTACGCTGGGGTACATTGTTGTACATCAAATCGTTACATGTATGAATGAAAGTACATTGTTGTACACACGCATACATATACTCACATACATAAACACACACATACATACCTGCACAGATAAAACTAAGTCTACGGTGCCTAAAACAGACCAATCGGATGATGACGAAGAAATTCCCGTGATTTCATTGGCTGAGATGATTGACGAATTGCATATCGGGGAAGATGCAACTGGCGGGGAGGGCGCCGACATGATCGAATAATTTTCATCATAATTATAACTCTAATTATTACTTGTAATTACGGTTGTGACGTCATCTTTATCATTGTCATCTCCGTCGTCATCATCATCACCACAGCGTATATCGTCACCACCATCAATTGCACTTCAAAATGGTATAATTAATGTGACATGTCATGATATGATGACGTCGTCGTTGATTGGGATGATGATAAAGGTAGCGAGGAGTTTAATAAAAAAATCTTGTTGCTCCTGATAACTATGGTTACAGACAGTATGGGGCGTCAAATCTGATACAGATGATACCTGATACAGATGATGTCGACTTTCGCGCTATAAAAGTCGGTAGAAACTCGTCAAAGATAACAGTTATGACGTCACAATAACTAACACTCGCAATCGTCGTCGTAATTATCGTGGTAAAATGTTTTCTCTCCAGGTGACAGGAGTGGCGGTAAATTACTTTCTTCAGAAATGTCTGTAGGCGCGTGCGTAAAAGCATTACATATACACAGTAATGTAGTAATTTAATTACTATTACTACAAATATTATTAATATTATTTTCATCATTAACAAACTAACTTAAAAAATATTCTCGCCAATAAACAAAAACGTACAATTTACATATAAACATGCATATACACATGTACACGCGCATGTATATATGTATGTATATATATTTTTTTTAACAGTGTGTATGTATATATATATATGTGTGTGTGCGTGTGTACAAAATATCCATAAACATAAGTTGACATACACATGTATCAATTTAAATTATATGTATATAATACAAATGTATCAATATATCTATACATATTGATACAAAAGGATATATATATATATATATATAGGTACACATGTCAGTTTATACTTTATACAGCCTCTTGATATTCTTCTACTAAACTATCAACTCAGCTAACTCAATCAGCTTAACAATCAACCAGCCAATCGATTAACCCAAAATGTAATTTATAATATGTAATAATTTAATATAGATTGATAGATAGATATGTAGATACAGACGAATGTGTAAACTTAACAGAGCAAATAACTAAATGGTATAATTTTTCAATCATTTCAATAGGGAATTATCGATCCGCAGCTCAATTATCAACTTGTCAATTAACTCAATTAATCAATCAGTCAACTCATTCAATCCGTGACTAAACGAACCAGTCAACAGAGAAACGAAATTTAACACCAAATAACGTATCAATAAGGGAATATTTATAATTCCAAAACTTTATTAAATCCAGTCGGACAATCACTAACTCACTCAATCACTTTATTTAAACCACAATTATTCAATCAACCAACTAATATTTAGATTATATTTAATACGTATTTCGCATAAACATATCAGTCAAATAGCATTAGAAAATAAATTAAATATTTAAGAAGAGACAAACTTAGTTACACCGAATAAATATATAAATCAATCAATCAGTTGACAATCAATCACTTGATATCTCATTCAACCAAACAATCAATAAGTCTATGATTCAATCAATCAACAAACCAACCAATCAATCATCCAATCGAACAAACAAACAGCCAGATAGATCATCATATATATTTGGTTTTATTGAGAGCCCTATCGGCATACCCACCACTATCATCATTCATCCTATCCCAATCCGTTAATCCCACAACGAATCCCAATCTTCTCATTCTCTCTTGATCCTTGCGCTCCTCTATATCCGCCCATCTCACCTGCATAAATTAACATTAATTTATTCATTAATATCGATTCGTATGTTTTATTCAGTGAATTGCCTGAGTGATGCCGGCCTGTACAATACATCTACCTGCAAATTAGACTTGCTGATAGGTAACAATTGGGATAATTTATTCAAATTTTCATCGCATTAACATTTCATCAGAGACTAATTAGCATAATTTATTAATTTACTCATCAAAAAATATGATATTCACTCACCCTCTTCTTGTTGCCCGGCTTGAGGCACCGCATCTCATAGTCATCTGAGACCTGGAGGTACTCCTCCAACTTCATCGGGTGAGCCTCCTTCTTAGTGGCCAGACCATCCAACTTATCTGGTGTGTATATGTGTATTTATGCATGTGTGGTGTAAGTGTGCGTGTGTATTTCAAGTCATCCAACTTTGCTGATTTGTGTGTATGTATGTGTGAGTATATATGTGTAGAAGCATGTATGTGTGTGTACGTGTGTGTGTGTGTGTGTGCGTGTGTGTTTCGATAACTAACCAAGCGTTTGCTCAGACGTGTCCAACTCCCATTTGCTTTTCTTGTGACCTTTCAACTGCTGTCACGAGATAAAAATAACGTAACATCATGACGTCATCAGCGTCATGACGCCATAGTATCAAATTAAAATTTGAAAGTATCAAAATAAATATATCAAAGTTGAAGATATCCAACTGAAAGATATCAAATTAAAAATACCACCATTACCAACATCTCCATCTACGTAATAATCATCATTATTATCATCATCATCATCACCATCGATTGGTGATGATTATAATAATCATAATCATAATGAGATCTTACAGTGTCATAATCTTCGTCTTCGTCGTCATCGTTTCCATCCTTGGACTTCTCAACAATGGTCGTCGCATCTTCCATTTCAACCTGTAACATCGAAAAATCAATCAATCAATCAATCAATAGATCAATCAATCAACTGATTGAACATCAACAAGCTACAGTTTATCTTCAATCAATCCATTAATCAAACGACCAACCAATTAACCAATTAATTAATTAATTAATTAATTGTTTAATTAATTAATTAGTTTATCAATCGAACAATCAACCAATCAGTCCATCAGTCACTGATTGAAAATGTGACGATGTTAACCTCTTCGATATTATTCTCTTCTTTTAATAAGTAGCTTATATCAAGATGGATGTAGTGCCTGGGCGTCTCGTCCCAACCTTTTTTTATCTGCCAATCAATCAATCAATCAATCAATCAATCAATCAATCAATCAATCAATCAATCAATCAATCAATCAATCAATCAATCAATCAATCAACCAATCAATCAATCGACTAATCAATCAATCTTCACCTTCATGATATCGTCATGTTTATAATGGTGTTCATTCCTCTTGGTGCATAGTGATACATCTGCCTCCATCTGGGCTACATAGACCTTTGGATGAAAAAAGAATAAATAATTCAATCAATCAATTCACTAATCAATCAATCGACTAACCAATCAGCGAATCGATAAATAAGCCAATCTACCAACTAATCTGTCACTCAACAAGCACAAAATCCTTCCTTGAAATACGTTAGAATGGTAGCCTAAATGCACTAACTTTCAACCATATAATTTATACAACCGACCAGTCAACCAACCAAACCATTAACCAATTAATCAATCAATCAGGTAACTCAACTAACCAATCAATCAATCAAACAAACAAACAATCAATCAACGAGCCAAACACAAAATTTTCACTTTACAATTCACCAAACAAATAATTTAAAGAACTACCAACTGGCCAACCAATCCATTAACTAAACAATTATTCAATCAATCAATCAATCAATCAATCAATCAACCAATCAATCAATCAGTCAACCTGAAACCCTTTAGATTTGGCATAACCCCAGAATTCATCGAGATAAATTTTTTTATCAAACGTAGCGTCGACGACGATGAAGCTGAAGAAGCAGTCGTCAATTTGCTTTTTGAAATTCTTCAGGAAACTCGTCTTATACGAAGACTCCAGAGCCGGGTCGAATTCAAACTCCATCACCTTATTTAGTGTTTTTAATTGGGGAAACAATTTAGTGCTTTTTACTGGGGACAGATACAATACAATTATCATTATTTAACGTAATAAATAACAACCATTTTTTTCTCTTTTTTTCCTGTCAGTTCATCGACAGTGACCATTTTCTCCACTTCCACCATAAAATAATCATCCAGGCAGAGCATGCGTGGGGCCGAACCTCCCTCCTGCACCTCTCGCTCCTTAGGGGGGATGATGAGAATGATGATGACGATGGAAGAGGATGATGATGGGATGACTGAATGATAAGAAGTGACTGTTCTTAGTTAGAATTTCCAAAAACAAATAAAAATAATCCGAATAATCATCATAAGCCATTTAAAAAACAACAACAACAACAGATTCCTCAAACCATCCAGCCAATCAGCCAACCTTAATTAATTTACAAAGATGGGTCTTTCCAGAACCCGGCAATCCCCGAACGATGATGACCAATCTGTCGGGCCTTTCCTTCCTGCCTGGCTTGCAGATCAAAGACTCTATACTCACTTTCTCGACAGCCGGACTCTCCTCCGCAACTTTCAACTGTGATGATGTTGACGAAGATGACGGTGGCGGGGGCAGTGGTACAGCATTTCTTGGGAAATTTTGATGATGGGGGCCTCTGAATCTCATGCCATGCAGGAAGTTTGGAGAGTTTATTCCATGCGGCGGCCCTGGTGGGAACTCATTTGGTCCCATCCATCCGTGATGTAGAGAAGGGTGGGGAGGTGGAAATGGAGGGTGGCCAGTCCCAAATGGTTGGGGGGAGTGAAACCTAGGTGGCAGCCTATAATCGATATCATGAGGGGGAAGTTGATCAACCGATGGAGGGTCGTTTGATAGGCCACCGTGCCCGTAATCTATCACTGTAGTTACGAGAGGGTTTGATGATTTGGAGTCGATAATTTTTGGGCTTGGATTGTTGTTAGGGCGAGATGCATATCTCTCATCTTTGTCCTGCAAGTAGGTGGATTTATCAAACGGCGACCTCTCGTCAAAATCATGGTAGTTGTTGCTGCTACGATTTCTTTGCTGCCAATGTTGTTGTTGTGGTAGCGGCTGACGACTGCTGCCGCTGTTGCTGCTGAGGTCGTTGTAGTAGTAGCACTCGTTATCCTCATCAGGGAAGTAATAGTCCTCGTCGTTATCTCCACCATCGTGGCGACCTCGATAATTATTATTACTACTGTTATTCTTCTTATTCTGGCTGTCGCTGTAACGGTTACGGTAGCCAGAGTCAGTGACGTCACCGTCGCAGTTGTCGCCGTCTTCATCGTACGGCTCGTCCTTGTATAAATCTAAATTAACGTTTTCAAAGCACGCTTCGCTGTCACCGTTGTTACTGTTGTTTTTGCGATTGTTGTTGTTGCTGTTGTTGTTGATGTTTCGACTGTTGTTGTTAGTGTTGTTGTTGCTGTCGACCTGCTGCAACTCTTTAGTCGTCTGTTTGATCAGCTCCAGCTCTCTTTCTGAGAACTGGATAAGATATATTCAGTCAGTTAGCATGGCGATTCTATGAAGAAGCCAATAATAATAGTAACAACAACAACAACAACAACAATATTAAGAAAACAGACAAAAATAAAACTACAGGGGTTGTTGATAGCGCTAAGTAGTAGGTAACTACATTGGTAGCGACGCTACTTCTGAAGCCAAAACAAAAATTACCACCACTACTTACGGACGTTTATTTAAGACCATGCAAAATAATAATTAGCAACCTTTCAATTTGAGAAACATTGATTTTTATGGATGGCGCCGTTGTCTTGTTTCTAAGACTACGAAACATTTTACATTAAAAAAATTAAAAAAAAAAAGCATTGGTAGCGATTTCGGCACTTTTTTTTTCATTCAAGTGGTGTTAACATCAACAACCCAGAAAGGTAAAAAAAACAGACTTTCGCAACTCCATATGATCTGTTTGACTGCTGCTGCTGCTGCTGCTGTTGTCTGTAGATGAATAAATGTAGCAATCATTATTAAATTTATTAATGAATTATTCAAACAATCGATCAATCAATCAATCAATCAATCAATCAACCAATCAATCAATCAATCAATCAATTAATCAACCAATCAATCAATCCATCAATGGACAAACTAACTTGGCCGCGTCTTCATTGTAATTCTCATCCCAACTTGCTTGCTCATCGTACTGAATCGATTGTGTGAAGTTTTTAAAAATTATATTCTCAAATGGAGGAAGTAATAGCAGTATCATTCAGTAGTAGCAGTAGAAGAAGCAGAAGCCGTAGCAACAGCAGTAGTAGTGGCAGTGGTGGTTAACATTAGTAACATCATTCACTCATTATCAATTGGAAAGAGCCAGAATTAACAATACTATCATTTCATTCACCTATTAACGTGATTTCATTCAATCATTCATTCAACCACACATTCATTCATTCATTTATCTACTCATTCATTCACTCCACAATCCCTCACTCACTTCATCGTAATACTGCTGCCCATCACCACCACCGCCATCATCATCGTCGCCGTAGTAATATTGACTATCATCATTGTAATCATCCCAGACATCATCATAGCCATGGCCTTCATCATCGTTGTCGTCCTGGCAGCCATACTCAGTAGCGCACGGTGGTCCGGGCCTACCACCCCTTAACATTTGGAGATTTCCACCCCTTAAATGGAAATTACCCCCAAATGGCGGGCGCGTCTGTGGGTTATTCGGCCTCAATTGTCGAGAACCTAAAGGGCCTGCTTGCCTTGGTGGGATAGATTGGAAAAGTAGAAAAAAAGTTATTCATAACTTTTACTATTAACAAAGTCATCACCCCTAACTAACCTATTAAATGGCGGCCTAGGAATTGGATTCCTAATATTTTGTTGCTCTGGCCGAACCATTCTTTGTTGTTGTTGTTGAAATGAAGGTCTCATTAGACGTTGCTGCTGCTGTTGTGGTGGTCTAAGCATCTGATTTTGCTGTTTTTGTTGTTGTTGGGGTAGGGGTGGTCTTTGCATTCTCATTTGCTGCTGCTGAGGTCTAATTTGTTGCTGCTGCTGTTGATGTTGCTGCAAAAATGGTCTGTTTTGTTGTTGGAATGGAGGTCTATTTTGTTGTTGTTGTTGTAAAGATGGTCTATTTTGTTGCTGTTGTTGTTGTGAAGACGGTCTAGCCTGTTGTTGTTGAGATCTGATTTGTGGTCGTTGCTGTTGTTGTTGTTGTTGGAATGGCGGTCTGTTTTGTTGCTGCTGTGTAAGTGGCGGTCTAAATGGAGGTCTTTGTTGTTGTTGCTGCCCTGTAGCTGCTAATGTTGTTTTAGGATCAGTAGTAACATTACTTTTACTACTAGTAGTAGCAGTAGTAGTAGCAGCAGCAGCAGCAGCTGTAGTAGTAGTTTGAGATGTTTTTACACCAGCAATCGAAACATTAGCCACAGCCATTGTAGAATTACTAGTCGGTATGGTAGTAACTGAAGTCATGATAAGTTTGTTAACATTGATAGCAGTGCTTATAGAAGTAACAGTAGCTGTCTTAGCACTACAAACAGATGAAGTTGTTGAAGTTGTGGTACTAGACTTGACTGCAACAGTTGCATTTGTTGCTGTTGTAGTTGTGCTAATACTACCTGAAGTAACCATACAGTTACTAGTATCTATATTTGCTACAGTAGCAGATGTAGTTATTGGCCTGGTAGTACTAACGCTAAACGTATTTACTAGACTACTAGTGGTTGTAGTAGCAGCTTTGGTAGCAGCTGTGGCTGGAGAAGTAGTAGTAGTAATATTTGTGGTAATCAAAGTAATAGTAGTAGTAGGTGTATCTAATCTCATTCTTTTGGTCCCAATTTCCGCCATTTGTGGTGGGGGCCTGTACCTGATTGACGATGGTGGGCCAAATCTGTTAGGGAATTCTTGCCTGGGTTTTTCCGACTGGGTATTTCCAAATGAGTTGTTGTTGTTTGGTGTTACTGATGTCGTTGTCGTTGTTGAGATTATATTACTTTTAGATTGTTGTTGAAATTGAGATTTTTGCTGTTGTTGTTGTTGTTGTAGTGGTGGTGGTTGTTGCTGTGGAAATCGTGGTTGCAGTTGCTGATTTGGAAATCGTTGTTGCTGTTGTTGTTGCTGCTGAGGAAAACGCTGTCTCGATACCTGTTGCTGATTTTGTTGCTGCTGTTGACGTTGTTGGTGTTGCTGAAGAGGAGACTGAAATTGTGGTCTTTGCTGTTGTTGAGGTTGTTGAAATGGTGCCGGGAAACGCAAGCGCTGTTGTTGTTGCTGTTGTTGCAAGTTAGATGTTTGGTTGTTGTTTACTGACTGCTGTTGCTGTTGAGTTGGTTTATTGAAAAAATCATGATTTGATAATCTTGGTAGTTGTGGTTGTTGTTGCTGCTGCTGCAGCTGTGGTGGTCTAACTTGCTGTTGCTGTTGTTGATGTGGTGGTCTAACTTGTTGTTGTTGTTGATGTGGTGGTCTAACTTGTTGTTGCTGTGGTCTAATTTGTTGTTGTTGTTGTTGC